ATATATATATATATATATATGGGCTACTGTTTTTATTCTCATCTTCCTGCATCTAGCCGACCTACTTTTCATTCGTCCTCCCCACTCTCCCCTCACCTCCTATTGTCTACTTTCTTGTGATGGCCTTCTTAGTACGATTCTCCATCAGTCCTATCACTGAACTTTCTATATTTTGGTAATTTCTGCCTTGAACATTGACTTGCTTATTCCTCATTAGAAACCTCGGATCCTGTTTTTAAAAGCAGACTCATATTTTACCGGCTTTTTGTTTAAAATAAATTAATCTCCGCCGCAATTTCTTCTGAGTATCTTTTAGCTCCAGCCATTCAATCACAATTGCACTCTTAATTCCTCTTATATAAATCTTAGATAACAAATCGAACTCACTTGGATACGCACGTGCGCGCATATCTATGAATTTATCGATTTGTTGTCCAGTGGGAAATTTCAACAGCTCATTTTGTAAATGCACCAGCTTCAATTGCACAAATCTGCATACTTTCAGATGACTAATTACATTACTTTATTATTTCATTATCTTTCTCTTATTGTTGATCATACTTGTTTAGCGCTTTGCTCCTTTATTTTTGTGTGCGTGTATGTATGTTTGTGTGTTCGTCTATTCTTTGTGTATTGAATGTTTACGCATATAGCCTCTAATTATTGTACATAGCTAATAACTTACTCTAATTTCATCTGTTTTCTTAAAACCTGCATTCTACAACATGAAATTTTAATGCTGTGTTCCTTGTAATTTTGCCTAACCAACCCCATAGACTGCATGCGGTTTATGCTATCCCTTGATATGCATAAATTTGCGTTGTCTTTTTTTGCTCCCCGGCCGATGGTGATGCTGACTCAAGTTTCTATTTATGTTTACACCTAATCTTTGATTTCCTCCTCATCGCATTTGACTTTAAGTTCTGCATGTGTCCCCTGCTTTATCAACCTTTGCCCACATCTCCCAATATAATCGTTCTATTTTATTAAAACGCAAAGCATTTTCTTCTATCTTATTCCTCTCTCATTTGAAATTTTTACATATCTCTCTTGCTCCTTGGTTTCAGATTGTTGATCTCTGTCAATAGACATCTCATTATGTTGGCTCTTTTTTAATTTATCCCTTTTCAATTCCAATTAATCCATCTTACTGCATATTTCTTTTCAAGCCCGCTATTCCTCATATCAATTGCAACTTCAGATTATGTCTGGATTTTTTATCCTTATTTTAGCTCAGTTCGCTTATAAAAGTCGGCGCGAACTCCTGTACTACATTAAAAGCAACTCAAAACACAATTGGCACATTACTGAGCCAGCAGCATATGCTAATCTTTGTTCTACTTTGTAAATTCTCTATAGGATTATCGATAATTGGATATGCCTCAGACCACAAAAAGACTTTAGCTTATCAGTTTTATTAAGTAGGAAACGCCTATTTTATTTTTCAAGATATCCTTGCGCAGCCAAAGTAATTGGCGAAAATATCAAATATTTAATAAGAAGACCAATCGCGGCAGCTAATGTGTTATAGGTCTTATTATCGGGCTGTTTACGTTATATAGGGCCGAATGCTTTACCTAACCTTTAAATTAAAGCCTGGTCCCTTTACTATTGAACATATCAAAGGTCGACAGTAATTTCGACCTTACATTTGCCCTGTCACCTTCAAAGGCCTGCGGGATCTATTTAAAAGGCGATCCTTCATCACTGCCACGCGCCGTTCGAGTATCTGCCAGTCACAGGATATATGTGACTTTCAAGGCAGCATGTCTCTCAATTCTCTTTTACGCTGGGCCAACTTTTTTAAATAACATCCTTACCTTTAAGCTACATATAATTACGCTTAACGATCCTCTGTACTCCCCCTAAATGATCTTTTCGATTTTATCTCACTTTTGGAGTGCCAAAGAAGAATGTTGCCCCTCTTGTGAGAGATCTGCTATAATTTATCTTGTTTCTTTTCAGGTTCTACCATAGTTGCCTCTGGTATCTGATGTAAAAC